AGCTATGAGAACATTAATCAAAAGTAACAGAGGTTATTATATCAAAATGGAAAGACTGATTCCTCTTTTGGAATTAGGGTACCTGTAGGAACAGATATTCCATGTTTATATTATGTATCATCAGTACTATGAATGTTAATATTACTAGTAATATTTAAGCCGCAAAATAAATAATACAAATGTCATCTCTTCAAAACATGGTGACAGTTTGGTAAATAAATTAATGAAAGTGATTTATTTTCCATTTTATATTTCTTTCCACAGATACAATGATGGTGTAAAACTCATTATAGAAAAAATGACTGTACTTAAGATCCAGTTTTAATACAAGAAGTTATTTTTGCCCTGACAAAGCAGCCCTTTTAGGTGTTTTGAAATTTCCTTCATTTTGAGCCCATATACAAATGGATTAAACAAAGGGTGATAGAGCACTATTTGTAATGTCATTACTATGCGTGCAGTTTTTGGAAAATCTGCTTCCACCCGAGCTATGCTTACATCATACACAAAAAACAAACAGGCACTAATTAAAACTAAGAGATGGGGTAAACAAGTCTCTGCAGCTTTCTTCCTAATTTCTTTACAACTTTGATAAGAAACAATGAAAATTGTTGTGTATGTGAAAACTATGAAGAGCATAGGAAGTATTACAAGATCTAGTAATGCAATCACACCAAAGATGATAATTAATCTTGATCTTTGACACTGAAGAGTGTAAACTGCATTATTACAAAATATTCCTTTTATATTAGAGTCACACAGTTTAGCTTCAGCACTCGCTATTGCTAGGACTGCAATATGACAAGCAGGTACAAGCCAAGCTATGATCAGGGAAATACTCACAGTGGTTTTTCTCATGATAATATGATATTGTAGAGGTTTACATATAGCCACATATCTGTCATAGGCCATGGCAGCCAGGAGAAAAAATTCTGAACCACCTAGAGTGTAAAACATAAAAAACTGAAAGAGACAGGCTGAATATATTGTGACTTGTTTATCAGATAAAACGTCAATCAAAAGTTTTGGGTAAATAGTTGTGCTGTAAAGAACAGAGTTAAGTAGCAAAGCAGCAATGAAAATGTACATAGGCTCATGGAGGTTTTTATGAATCCAGATTAAATACACAATAGTAGAATTAGTGCAGATTATTAGAATATATAGTGTAAACATAATAAAAAAGAAAATATATCTGTACTTGTTAATTTCCGTGTACCAGTCCAGAGTTAGAAAGGTAACATTTAACTCTTTATCCATTATTGTTTTCAAAGACAAAACATTTGCTCATAAAACTAATTACATAACAAGTATGAATGGAAAACCAAAAACAAGACAAAGACTTCACACAGTCATACGAGTATGTGGCAGGTTTTTATTATTTCGCCTTATCCTCAAGGGAGGGAGAGTTCTGAAACACCATTGTTCTACCTTTTATAATTGATGCTTTGGGAATGTACAATTAATCCTTCTTTTCTGTTCAATGTGAACATTCAGGATGGCAACACTATCTCTCCTCATTAAAAAAAAAAAAGTAATACCAGAATTAGATGTGTAAACAATGAAGAGCAAAAAATAAAAATGAATAAAGTCAATAAGAACAATTCTCTCTCACACAGTAATTTCAAGGTGCGAAAATGTGCTTTAAACATAAAATAAATGTTGTTCTCAAATCATTGATTAGGTGACTTCATAGTAGTATACATGTTGGTGATGTCCTTTGTGTAAAAACTGTTCAGTTTTGTGTGTCCTGTATCATTAGCCCAAGGACAGAAATTCTTATACAAACTAAGTGCAACAATGTGCATATGTCCAGAACAATATAACAGTGGGTTATTTGATTATGTTCATCAGTGTGACAGCCTGGGGGAAGAAACTCTCTCTGTAGCATCCGGTTTTTGTAAACAGTGCTCTGTAGCACCTTCCTGAAGACAGCAGTTTGAAGAGTTTATGTCCAGAATGTGAAGGGTTTGCAGAAATGTTTTCTGCCCATTTCCTAACCTGAACATGTTCTGGATGAAGGGAGTCCCTCAAGGTTCAACATTTTTTTCCTCTGGTTGAACTTTCAAATGTTCTTTAGTGTTTTATGGCAATACTTACACTTTCATCATACTTTGAAATTGTTATTGAAAGTTTTACTATTTATGGGTGCATGATGGAAAGTCTAAACCAGGGGTATGCAATCTGTTTGATGATGAGTGCCATTAAAAATTAAAAACTAATATTTCCTCAGAGGTCAATGTGCCATATAATTGCGTTAGCAATAAATTTAATAACGCTCTATACTTTATCGAATTATATTTGTTTGCAGATGTTGGCAGCTATCAGCGAGTAGTTATCAGCTCTTTTGAAACAAAAAATGACACTTTTTATTCATAACAAGAACTCCATAACAGCAAATGAACTGTACAACGGAAAATGCAAATGCTATTTATGGTCTCCTCACAACAATGATAAGAAAAATAAACTGGGCCAATATGGCATGTTTGTTAATACAGAGATACACATGTTAATGTGATCTCTGTTCTCCCACTCAGAGACACAGGTCTCCGAGTGTCCAGCGTTCAGACGGCTACCTAAAGACACTCATGTGAGAGAAAATCTGCTCACACACAGTGTAGAGCCAAATACTGTCAATAAGGCCTCTGCAATGTTCTTAAGACAGTTAAATTTGTCAGGTCGTGATGTCCAGCAGGTGGAAATGCAAGCTCCATGAACACGCACAGCTGTGGATTCCAGCTGTGTCTGTAGTTCTGCAAACTTTGACCCCCACAGAGTCGAGCTTGTCAGTTCAATCAGCTGCATTTCGATGTCCACTGTGTCCAGGCAGTTAATGGGAGAAATATCCAGCTGCTCATTGGTGCTAACATTGGTCCATACACCTGAAAGTCCCAAAAACGCATTGTGAATTCTGTCTCGAGTCTACGAATGTATCCGTGTATTTCCACGGTACTGATGCTGCGCTGAGCAGACAGCTCCTGAAGCATTTGAAGTGTTGGAAATTTCAACATCGCTTGACAAAAACTGCCAGCTAGCAACGTCCCTCTCACCGGTAGGCTAAGTTATTTTTAGCCAATTACAAGTTGAATCTAGTAGTTTAGGTTGTTAGCTAAGTTTCTGTCATTAAGGAGCAGCACAACTAATGTGTCTATGCGAGCTAATTTGCGACGTGCACCGCTGACCCGGCCATTTATTTTTTAATGCACCTTCTCAGATTAATTCACTGCATGTCTGCAGTGCACTGCTGGACTGGGACAAAAGAATCGGACTGGGCATTTTGACTAGAGACCGGCCCACCAGGTATTATAGGAAAAGCCAT